GTATTTACATATGCATATTACACAATTCTTATATGTTTACATATCTAACGGCTAAACAACCATGTTTGCTTGCATACCACACAAATCTTTGGCAGTGTTTTTGATATGATGTTAAAGATTTGTGTGGTATGCATGCAAATATAAATGTTTAGGTGTTAGATATGTAAATATATAAGAATTGTGTAATATGCATATGTAAGAGCCCCTTAATTTGTTTAAACATCATATTTCCTATGGTTAAATCGATTCATTGCAGTGCTAGTCTTATAAGTTGCAATGTTTTAAGTGTTATGTATGCAATTGTCTTTACTTTATACTGATGGGCAAGATGATTTGTATGTAAATCTTCCTAAAATTAAGTAGTATGGTGCCATATACTTTGTAAAAATTGAAGTTTAGGTGTTAGATATGTGGATACATAAGAATTAAGTGGCATGTATGTAAATCTTCCTAAAATTTAACGATCTCCTAAGTGGATACATAAGAATTAAGTGGCTGGAGCAACTAAGGGCTCTGAAAATTAGTCATTATTATTTCCAAGAATTTTGTTTTGGATTGGGCAATGCCAATGAAATCCATCATGGATGAAATTCATTGCAATGTTGAGCAGGATTCCTTTTGATGGTGCTTCAGAGATGTATGCTATTAAGCTGGATTTGTGAAGCATTCATCTTGATTTGTGAAAAGTTATTATATATAATTTGTATTTATGTTCGGTTCCGTGTTCTTAAGATATTCATTTTATAGACTAAAATATAATTTTAGAATATTTCCTTAATTTGTATTTATTACAACACTATTTAATACATAAAATTACTCTATATAATAATTGATTCCATAGATACATACATAAAATTGTGTTCCATATGTGTTAGATATGTAAATACATAAAATTGTGTTCCATATGCGTTTTTATTCTTATACAAAGGTTGTTAACACTTTGGGGGCCTACTGAAGTTCCAAAAATATGATTGTTATACTCTTTTTTTAAACAGTTTTACCAAACAGGGGCAGTATGATCTTTTTTCTGGTCTTTTTTCTATAAATAACTGTCCGACAGCTGGTTTCACACAGTTGCACGAAACAGACAGCAAACTTCCCCGCAGCTGCTTCCTCACAGCAGCTTCCTGAGCGCAGCTGCAGCTGCGCCAAACAGAGCCTCAGTATATGATTTGAATTTGTCATTTGCGGAAGCTTGAGGTTGTTGATGACCTCGTGTGTGACGTCTTATTGTCAATGAGAGCGAGGGGTGATGCTGGTGCAATGGTGATATTGCCCTAAACATCATTTGCTTTTGTATTCATCGATGGTATTGGTGTGAAATCCCTTAAATATAATAAAGCTGAACTGTAAAAGATTGAGACATCTTTTAGGGTAACATTTGGAGCATAAACTTTGAAGCTAAGCTTGCTCATGCGGGAGCAATCTTAGGATAGGTGACTTCCTAGGAAGTTGCACTAATATGACAAAATGGTGAGACAATAAGCCAAAGTAGAAAATATCTCAATGGATGAGAATTTGAGCGGTATCAGAGCCTATCTTCATATTCAATTTTACTTTGTCTTTTTAGTATTATGGAGGGAATAAATTCTTCTAATAATAGTTACCTAGTTATCTAGTATATTTTGATTTTGTTTAAATTTTAAATGTTTTGAATGACTCCAAATATAAGAGGTGTTGTGGTCGTTTGCATAACCAAAGACCACAGAGCCACTATAAAAGTTGTACTTGTCCTGAGGGGTTTATGCACCCTTAATAGTCATGGTGTTGATCCTTGTGGCAGTGCAAAAAAATTTTCAAAGTGGGGCAGAAAATATTTTTTTCAAAAATTTCTCTAACTCTTTTCATTCTGGTTTGAGAGCAACATCAACAATTTAAAAATAGTATTAAAATATGTTGACATGAATTTGTATTGGTTGATTAAAATCAATCAATCAAAGTAAAATTCACCAGAAAGATAAGCATATTATATATTTTTATATTTATTATAAACTAAACGCTATATTTTTTGTTGAATCCTTTTATGATGTATGATCCCGTTCGTGAACTCATGCAATCCAAGAGCGACATTGTGAAAGAGGTGGAAGGAAGTTGAAGGATTCTTAGAGACAGAGTGAGAGTTAGGGTTTGTTTGGGGCAGCTGCAACTTATATAGCTTATGCTGATAAACAGCTTATTCTGATAATCTGTTGATAACCAGTTGTTCCGGATAAGCTGACTGACTGTTTGGTTTGTGCGTTTGAAAAACAGTTGATTCTGGATAAATAATCAATTTGCCCCTAATCTGGATAAGTCGTTTGGTTGTTTGATTTGTGTGTTTTGTAAACAGTTTATTTGCAGTTTTTTTTTACAAATTTACGAACCTTCTTAATTCAAAATATTCTTAAATGTAAAGCTATAGTTCTTTCATTTTAAGGGCCAAAGACATGTCCATATCAATTCATATGCTCAAATAGTATATAAATCCATATAGTAACAATTTCATTTGCATTTTCTCAAGAACAAGTACTGTAATTTCAGCAAAGCACTCGAACTAAAAGCACTCAAATATCAACTATAGGTAAATTGAACCAATAACACTCAAATAGCAGTAAAACACTCCAACAAAGCACTCCAGCTAAATTTCGACAAAGAAAACATCACCAAAGCACTCCATCAAAGAACTATAGGACATATTCCAGGTTTTTACATGTTAAAACATAAGGGAAAACAATAAAATTTTATAAAGAAAAATATCTTCTTTCTTTTCCTGTTTCTCAGCCATTTAAATTCATAGATGCGACACAATACCCCTTCTACTCTTCCAATTTATTTCCCAACTTCATATTTTTCTTAAATCTAGCCAGAAGGGCATCAATAAGTAGATAATGTGCCCAGAAGAAAATGATTCCGGGAGCTGGGAGGTGAAGGATGTGCAAGAAAATCAAATTGATAAGCAATTTTGAAGGGAAAGGGGGATGCAGACTACAGAAGCAGTTACCTTTGTGAGTAAATTAATCCATCGACTCACGAAGGTGCTCGTTCCTGCACTCATCTAGCTCAAAACTCAGAAGCTTCGATACATTTTCACCTTACTAAGCAGAGAAAGGAGAAAATAATGAAGGAGAAAGTGGGTGGAAAGGCCCCTATTCAAAATCAAAGCAGCAAAAGCCTTGATATCCCTCTACGCAAAAATAAAAAATCTTAACGCTTCCTGTTTGAGCCGAAGTCCACAACCATAACTTGCTCACTGTTCCACACGAACCCTAGCCGTGTCGTAATTCCTCTTTGCACGTCGCACCTGTCTTTGCCTTCTTCTCCTTCCTTGGTCTCGCACGCTCCAAGCAGAAGAAGCAGTGTTGAAGGAACACAAAGAGAAGGAGTGTCGAAGAAGCGGCTCTGCGAGCTTGATCACGAGATTCCAGGGCATGGGAGTAATTTTGGACAAAACACGGCAAGGGAACGCCACCCTTAGGGATGTTCCCGCAGGCGACGTTATTCAGAAAATAAAAATCACGATTTTCAAAACGCCGGTAAAACATGAGATACAAACATTACGACTGTGTTTTTAAAAATGTATCCGCACTTATAAGTTGCCCCAAACGGGCTCTTAGAGAGAGTTAGAGTTGGCACTTTTTTTTCTTCTCTCATTTGACTTCTTAATTATACACCATAGAGTTTATGTGCCTATAGGACGATCCAAGGAATATAGTAAAAAGCTACATTATAAGGTGTACGATGTGCAACCTGAGTAGACTTTTTGTTGATAATATCTTTAGTATGGGTGGTAGGTCACCAATAAATGATCACACAATTGGTGATGGACTTGAGTTTTTTTTTCTTCTACCTCAAAGAACCGTTAACCAAGCTTCATGATACAATTAGATAGATATCAACAAACTTGTCAGGTGATTCAACTAGTACAAATAAGGTTATAAGAAGTCATAAAATATGAGCGAGCTTAGCTTGATGAGTTCGCTTGAAGGCTTAAGCTTAGCGAGCAGGTCGGAGGAACTCGCAAGAAAGCTAACAATCTTCGGATATACTTGTGGGGTTCTTCTAAGTGCCAAGAAATTATTTAGCTTGTTACCTCCAAATGTACAACTAATGAATACCATTGGCCTTATCATTTGTGGTTTTGATCCATTAGCCCCATGAGACCCATTTAATATTTGGATTTCCCTATTGCTTAAAGAAACACATTTTTTGATATACATTTAGATCCTCAATACTACTAGAATTGATAAGATACTATGAGAATAATTAGAGAATGAGAGAGTTGCCTATATGCATTACTAGAAAAATGAGAGGATCACAACAAACGTGTTGCCCTATCAAGTTTGTCCTCAGACACCTCAACCAAAAGTGAAGTCAACATTTTCACCACCAATAAAATTTACTAGTCATACCTTATAGAATAGTCACAAAAGTTCATTGTTGAGCACATACGTTCCTCTGTCTTGGGGCTCATAAGCTATGTCGGTTGGGAGTAGTCGTGAATACTCTCGAATAACCATTGATTGTTGCCTTTTTATTTTTTAGGTGACAGAAGCCAAATTATTTAATATAAATATGATTTGTATTAAGTTTACATTGTATATTTATTTATTAAATTCAAAAATAAACTTATTCAAATATCACCATGATTTTCACATTGATTAAAAATTTTAACAAAAAAAAAAAAGCTCATTCTAAATAAAATAAAATAGAATAAAATTATTAAATTATATAAAATTTTCTAAAATAAGTGGTTTATATACGGAAGCCCTTTTAAAATGTTTAAATTTTAAATATGGCGGCTCTCAAATAGTGAAATATCGCGGACACTGTTTCGACGCCTTCTTACCCTAAACCCTCACCAGCCCGAAACCCTCACCTAAAACCATCTTCCACGGCACATACATTCCCTCCATCAAGCTCGCCGGAAACTAACGTATCCACGCCAGCCTCGATCCCTCTGAGCTCAGCCATACCAAGGTGAAACAAATCCTTTTAAATCTCCTTCCTCTCTGCCGACAGCGATGCATTCCGATCCGGCCGACGCTGCCACATTGCTCGCGAGCCTTGCGGCACCCGACGGTTTCCGAGGCCTTTATCTTCGTTGGGCCTCTTTTTTTCGACCGTTTGAGGAATTCATTTTCCTCGACGATTACAAACTTAGTGCTGTGAAGAAAAAAACTGGGAGGAAAAGGAAACCAAAAGAGTTGATTACCAAGGAGAAGGTCCGCCCGATTGCCAGACAATTCCATCAATTTCTCTGCAATGCCCTAAAGCTCCTTCCTGACCTTCTCAGGCGAAGCCCATGCAATGCCACAGAGGGCGATGAAGGAATGCTGGAGGAAAAGGCCACCGAGCTCCTTAGTATCTACCGGCTCTGCATCCATTGTCTTATCTGTATCGCTCCTTGTCTCACCGGCCAACCATACTCAGTTCATCTTCAATGGGGTCAGCTAATCCGTCGTTTGGAAACTTGGAATAAATACAGTACAGCTGAAGAAGAGGGTTTTGCTCTTCTAGAGAGTCTTCACACCTTGCTGGTTACTACTCCGTCCCCTTTGAACTCAACCACACTCTTCCTGCCAGATCCAAATGCTGTTGGTTCAGCA